ACTCTCATGCCAGGCCCCTAAACTGCACTCTTAACACATCAAAGAGAAATCAGGAGAGAAATAAAACACCCTGACATACATTATAATTAAAACAACACGCTAACTGATCAATCAACAAAAAAATTAAGACAATAATTCAATTCAAAATAGCATCAAAAAGAGAAAAAAAAATGTAGATAACAGCTGCTGGAAGAATTAGGTACAGAGCCCTTGGACAGGCATTCTACATTGGTAGGTTGGGAGATAAGCCTTGGGACCCTGCACCTGCGTGGGAGACCTGCAAGAAGCTCCTGGCTCCTGGCTTCAGACTGGCACAGCTCCAGCCGTTGTGGCCACTTGGGGAGTGAACCAGCAGGTGGAGGATCTTTCTGTCTCTTCTCTGTGTAGATCTCACTTTCCAATAAGAATGGTAAATCTTTGGAAAAAAATAATATAGTTTGGTTTCCACGTTTTCCAATTTCTCTGTTTTCTCTTAACAATTTCTTGTTTCATTTCATTATGATCAGAAAAATACTTTGTGTGATACTAATTCTTAATATATTAATACTTGTTTTGTGGTCTGACATAACAGCTCATTATGTTTTCAAGCTTTTGTACCAAAATTTACCTTTAAAAAAGATTTATTTAAATGTATTTATTCATTTTAAAGTCAGAGTTGCAGAGATCTTTTATCCAGTGGGTTCACTTTCCAGAGAAGCCACAAACACTAGCTTCATCCGCGCCTCTCACAAGCATGACAGGGAGCTGGATCAGAAGGGGAACAGCCAGGACGAGAACCAGTGCCCATATGGGATGCTGGCATCACAGGCGGTAGCTTCACCTCTGTGCCACAGAAGTGGCCCCAAGATTGATTGACTGTTTGTTTGAAAGGTGTTTGTGGTTGGCTGCTGCCTCCAGGCTTGGGCCACACTGAAGCCAGGAGTCAGGAACACTTTCCAGGTTTTCCTCCTGATTGGTAGGAGCCCAAATACTTGAGCCAGTGTCTCATGGTTCCCAGATGCATTAGCAGGCAGTTGAATCAGAAGAGGAACAGCCATGATTTGAAATTTCGCTTTGATAGGGTATGCCAGCGTTGCAAGTGGTGGCCTAACACTCTGCTACGATCCAGACCCCTGTTTTTTGTTTTGTTTTAACCATTTTACATACGCTGTCCCACGACCTTGTGGCCTTGGTCGTCTCTGATGAGAACTTGACTGTTCATTATTGAGGGTCCTTTTATGTGACTGGTAGCTTCTCTCCTGCCGCTTTTTAAAGGTCCTCTTGGTGGTTTCTACAGTTTGACTCTAATATGTCCATGTCTTTAACCTTGTCCTGCTGCGTGGAATCGTGAGCTTCTTGGTTATGTAAATTGCTGTCTTTTATCAAATTTTGGAAACTTTTAACTATTTTTCTTTCTCTACTTCTGGAATGCCTGTCATGGTGTATTTGATGATGTCACAGCTACCTCACATTGTGTTTGTTCTTGTCCTGTTCAGACCGGGTGGTTTCAGTATTCTGCTTGGTTGTTTTTGGGTTTTTTTGTTTAGTTTTTCTTGTTTGTTTGTTTTTAGCTTATTGATGATTTTCTTCTGCCTGCTGGGATGTGCCGTTGAACCTGGTTTCTCTCCCAGCCTGTGTTAGTTCGCCGGGGCCACTGTAGGAGTGCAGCACAGGGGGTGGCCTGAGCAGTGGGATGTGTTCGCTCGCAGCTCGGGAAGCAGCAGTGTGAGATCGGTGTCCTGGGGCCTGCCTCTGGACTTGGTTGGTCTGAGGGGGCCCGTGGTTCCCCGTGTCCACATTTCATCTCATAAGGGCACCATGCTCCCCCGAAGAGCACTGTGAAGGCCGCTTCCCGGACGTAGCCAGACTTGGCTGTCACGCACACAGGCTTCGGCTCCAGGGTCGGTTGCTTTTTTCTATTTTCTGTCTCGATCAGCTTTGTCCTCCTGTTCTCCTTTAGTTCTTTGGGCATTAATACATTTGATTTAACATCTGTGACTTGTAATCCCAGTGTCTGAATTTCCTCGGGGACATTTTCTAATTCTTTTTCCCTGTGTATGTGCCATATGTTCTTTTTTTCCCTATGTGTGCTCAGTAGTTTTTGTTGAGAACTGAGTGTTTTGAGTGTTGGGTTGTGGTAGTTCTGGAGATCAGATCTTCCCCCACCTTGCCCCGGGGGGGAGGGGGTGCTTTGGTACTTGTTGAGGCTGCAGTTGTCTGGTGACTTCTGCATGATGTGTACATTCCTTGCTGGGTGGAGTCCCTGAGATTTCCTTTGTGCTGTGCCCGCGGTCAGCCTTGAGCTGACAGATTTCCTTAAATGTCTGGATCTGGATGTGTTGGCTTGTACAGCTTCTAAAATCGTACCCAGAAAGCGACTGTGGTAGTATAGGAGCTGCTGAAGCGAGGTTGCGTGGATCCCCAGGCTGACCCAGACACACAATCCCAAATGTTTGGAGGAGGGGGCCCTTGCTGTCCAGCAGGCACAAGCCTAGAGCCAGGGCCTTGCGCAGGCCGCCCTCCTCTAGTGGCTGTGAGTGGTCAGAGTTCTGGAACAGATGCTTTGCTGCTTGTTGCAACTTCCTGCCTGTGACGGAAGGCCTGGTGCCCTGGAGCTGCCCTCCCTCGCTGTTTTCCGTATCCACTCGGAGGTGTTCATGTCTGTAGAACTCTTGGAAACATCTCATTGTCAGTCATTAGAAATCCCACAACAATCTGAATTTGTAAGGCCAAGATGGGCTATTCAGCTCATCTAGTCAGAAAAGCATGGAGTTGAGGAATCCTTTCTGTGTCTGCTTGCAAAACCTAGAGGCGATAAAATGATCTTTCCTTATAAGTTTCACTGTGGCAAAAAATTCTGTAAAGTAGCTCTGTGAAAATGTTACAGTGTGAACTTACGAAAAGTTACACAGCAGTAAGCTTGTCAGTTTATTCAATCAAAAGGTGAATTAGTAAATCACAGAAAAATACAAATGATCAGTAAAAATGAATGCGGAGTATGAATCTGGTTCCTAATTAAGAAAATAGCCATGAATTGTGGAGATTCGCAGACTTCTTGTGTAATACTGTCCGGTCATGGAAGGGGCATAGGAAGTGGGCATTGTCATTTTCCATTGGTGAGGGTGTGACTGGGGCATCCTTCTGCGAAGGTTGCTGGTGTGCATCTCAGCGTCGTGTGCAGCCCTTTGGCCTGACTTGCTGGGAGAAGTCAGCCTGCAGCATCCCCTGAGGTGTGTCCAGAAACCCAGACTGCGGAAATGCTGTCAGAAGCGGCCGCCTCAATTATGAGGCCTTCAGACACCAGGAAGCCATGTGGCCGTCACACAGAATGAATGAGCTCTTTGGTGCTAATATGGGAAGATCTCCGAGGGCTCTTCAGTGACAGAGCTGCGTGTCGGGTAAAACGTAGGTACTGAGCGCACGGGTAGGGGTTTTACAGGACACCTGTGCAGGGGAGTCCCTACAGTACACCGTGTGTCAACTGGTGGCTTCCTGGGGCGAGGGGGAGCAGGAGTAACTGACGCATCTTTGAAGTATCTTTCTGTAAAATTTTTTTCATATTTACATGTTTTATCTCTTCTCCCATAGTCAGATAGCAAAAAAACAAAGCTCTGCTTGGTCTGACCTAGCAGAGAATCTATTTGCAGCTGTTGTTTCAGAATCTGTACCTCTAGTCTATTGTGTCAGCTCTTCCTCGTGAAATTACAAATATCTAAATGTTTGCTGCATGGTCTGTTTCTGTCTTAAATTGCTATGAAGTGTTTTAAGATGTGTAAAACTTAATTAATAATTAATTCTGGAAATGCTGTCGCAAAATTGTTAGTAACCAATCCAGACTTTTAAATTCCTTTTGTTTTAAAGGTTTATTTATTTATTTATTTATTTATTTTTATTTGAAAGGCAGAGTTACAGGGAGAGGAGAGAGACAGAAAGAGATCATTCGTCTGTTGCTTCAGGTTGATCCGAAGCCAGGAACCAGAGCTTCCCTCTGGATCTCCTACTGGAGGCACAATTCCAAGGCTTTGAACCATCCTCTACTGTTCCCCAGGCCACAAGCAGGGAGCTGGATGGGAAGTGGAACAGCCAGGACACAAACTGAAGCCCATATGGGATGCCAGTGCCATAGACAGCAGCTTAGTCCACTGCTCTACAACACTGGTTTTCGGGTGAATAGCAGGGACAGTTTCTTGTCCTCAGCCTAGGACTCTTCAGGAGGTTTGGAGACCGATAGAGGATCTCGCCTAACAGTCATTGCCTTCAGTTGCTGCTGCTGCTGTTTAAATTAATTTGAAAGAGTTACAGAGAGGGAGACAGCTTTTGGTTCACTCTCCTAATCACCGCTGGACGAGGTGCTGGGCCGCACGAAGGCCCAAGCCCTCGGATCAGCTTCTCGGCCTCGCCAAGTGCGTCAGCAGGGAGCTGGAGTGTAGTAGAGCAGCTAGGACGCTGGGTGACCCCCTGCTAGACCACAGTGCTGGCCTACCTGACAGTGCTAGTCCATGTCATCAGACACTCTGAGGGGCTGAAAAACTGGCTGTGTTTCACGTTTGAAGACCCAAAGATAGAATTACCCTGCCCCCGCCCCAATCCCTCCCTGGGTGCTGGCGAGCAGTCAGCTCTGCTTCAGAGCCTTCGCACATGCTCCTCCTCTTCCCCACAGACCTGTTGGCACTTCCTCACCCCAACTTGGCAGAAGCGAGTTGAATCTGAGGCTTACAGACTCCCTGGCTCTAAGCAGTATCCTGTTTGCTATGCCTGGACATTTGCTTTGTTTTACTTGGGGATAAAGTGATAGCCGTAGGTGCGGTGCTCTCGCTCTAGACACAGACACCAGGACGGGGAGTGGCGACTCCTGTTTGGGTCCCCATACCTGTGAACCTTCCTCTGAGGACTGAATCTGCCACCCAGTGGTGCCAGGCAGCAGGGGGCTCAAGGAGTTGGGAACTTCGTTTCCTTCGTGATGGAGAAGTGGGTAGAGTCACTTTCTCTTTTGGCTGAACTAATTTTTATTTCTCTTTTAGCACCAAACAAGATTTGTAATGAAATGGAGCCTGGAACAAACTCTTTTCGAGTTGAATTTCCTGATTTTTCCAGCACCATTCTGCAGAAACTGAACCAGCAGCGCCAGCAAGGACAATTATGTGACGTCTCCATTGTTGTCCAAGGCCACATTTTTCGGGCACACAAAGCTGTTCTTGCTGCCAGCTCCCCCTACTTTTGTGACCAGGTGCTCCTGAAAAACAGCAGGAGAATTGTTTTACCTGATGTGATGAACCCGAGAGTGTTTGAGAACATTCTGCTGTCCAGTTACACGGGACGCCTGGTGATGCCGGCGCCCGAGATCGTCAGCTACCTAACAGCAGCAAGCTTCCTGCAGATGTGGCACGTCGTGGACAAGTGCACTGAGGTCTTGGAAGGAAACCCGACTGTCCTTTGCCAGAAGCTCAATCATGGCAATGACCACCAGTCACCAAGCAGCAGCAACTACAATGGCCTGGTAGAGAGCTTTGAACTTGGCCCTGGAGGCCACCCTGACTTCTCCAAAGCTCAAGAGCTGAGGGATGGTGAGAACGAAGAGGAGAGCACCAAAGACGACCTGTCCTCCCAGCTCACCGAGCACGAGTACCTGCCCAGCAACTCGTCCACCGAGCACGACCGGCTGAGTACCGAGATGGCGAGCCAGGATGGCGAGGAGGGAGCCAGCGACAGCGCCGAGTTCCACTACACCCGGCCCATGTACAGCAAGCCCAGCATCATGGCGCACAAGCGCTGGATCCACGTGAAGCCCGAGCGCTTGGAGCAGACGTGCGAGGGCATGGACGTGCACGCGGCCTATGATGAGCACCAGGTCACCGAGTCCATGAACCCCATGCAGACCGAGCACACGGCGCAGCCTTCAGGAGTGGAGGAGGACTTCCACCTTGGGGAAAAGAAGGTGGAAGCCGAGTTTGACGAACAGGCCGATGAAAGCAACTACGATGAGCAGGTGGACTTCTATGGCTCGTCCATGGAAGAGTTTTCTGGAGAGAGGTCGGACGGGAACCTGATTGGGCACAGGCAGGAGGCTGCCCTGGCAGCAGGCTACAGTGAGAACATTGAGATGGTGACAGGGATTAAGGAGGAAGCTTCCCACCTGGGGTTCTCCACCTCCGACAAGCTGTATCCCTGCCAGTGTGGGAAAAGCTTCACTCACAAGAGCCAGCGCGACCGGCACATGAGCATGCACCTGGGCCTCCGGCCGTACGGCTGCGGTGTGTGCGGGAAGAAGTTCAAGATGAAGCACCACCTTGTGGGCCACATGAAGATCCACACGGGCATCAAGCCCTACGAGTGTAACATCTGCGCCAAGAGATTTATGTGGAGGGACAGTTTCCACAGGCACGTGACTTCTTGTACCAAGTCCTACGAAGCTGCAAAGGCTGAGCAGAATACGACTGAGGCTAACTAAAAATAGGAGCTGGCCCTTGAGTGGCGTGCACAGAAATAAACTATGGTAATTAATGCAAATCTGGGCACAGATGATGCGTGCCACTTGCTATTATGAGAGACGCTTAAAAAAAAAAAGAAGGAAGATATTTCTGAAAGACCAGCTCTAAGTAGGCCAATTAAAAAAATCTAATTCCTCAAATTTATGTTTCAGTCCTGGCCCAGAATGGGCATTGGGGAGGTGGATTAACCCACCACCCAGCTGGCGGGGTAGAGCCTCGGGTGCCAGTTCGCGGTGGAGACAGGTAGCTTGGTAACACACCCACCTGCCCTGGAACTGAACCCCACTCACCAGTTCCACTTTGGGTGGTAACGGTTTTTGACCACTCATTGTTACAAGCTCAAGTTGAGATTTTGTTTTGCTCTTACTCTAGATACTTAGGTAATGTGGATCTGTTTTGGTAGCTACTTCACTGAATAAGATGCTACTTAGCAAAAGTACAAATAATGTGATTTCTAGAATGAGAAATTAACAGAGCTTTCTTTCCTGGTTTGATTATCACAAGAGGATATTTAACTGAGATTCTGGAGACGGTGGGAGGGTGACATTCTAAGTATGAAACAAGTGGTTTATGGTACAAGTTTCAATTTCCCTAAGATGCCGCTGTTACAAAGTGTGTCAGAATCTTGGTAAGGCCAGGTTCAGTATTTGAGTGCTAGCACAGAGTTTGAACTGTTATGCCTGAGTGTAATTCTCCAGGGTGCCAGAGCCAGGTACTGCAGATGGGTCTGCTCTCCCGAATCCTGTTTGCTTTGTGGTAGCATCCCGGCAATGGGGTCAGCCTGCTGTGGCTCTGGCAGGGCTGCCCCAGCTCTTGCTCTGTCTTGGGTTATGGTGCTTCCCAAAGAAAACAGCCAGTGGAAAGGAGTTGTGTCACCTGTGAACCTGAAGAGGTAGGAAGGTGCCACAGTGACATGCTGGACTCCTGCGGGCAGGGACAGGAAAGTAGAATTTCCTGAGCGGCCAGGTCATACTTGAGGGGAAAAATCCACCCAAGGGAAGAAAAATACACTGGTGGGGAGGACCCTCCTTTCCCAGGGTGCATTGCACTAATACTGCCAGTTCTTTGTGAGTGCTGTAGCATGCTTTAAAAGGGTAAAGAGTCCTAATTTTAGCCAAGTTGTCTACAGATCCATGCTCCCAATTGACAGTGAAAGCTGCATAAATTTGCAAGTCTACACAGCTATACCTACCAAAAACTCAAGAAAACAGCTATTCTGAGATCTTTCTGGTGATGGGTTGGGTGTTTTAGTTCCAGAGAAAGTGTACATTGAGAAGGCTTTAAGCTGTGGGACGTATTGAGGTTGGCACCAGCATAGGACAGGGTGCTACTGGGATGCCATCTTCCTCGTACACTTTCTGGGCTAGTATTTCTAAGCGGAAACTTTTTTTTCTCCCTCTCAAATAAAGATAGCTTTTCTTGGACTTGGGGTGAAATTTTGCTTTAGAAGTTTGTTTTTGCTCTAATGGACTAGACATTGCTGGCAATGGCCTTTGACCTTCAAGCTCCTAACACACCAAGGTGTTTACTTGTTGAACATTGTCCTGGAAGGGGAAAGGAAAAAAAAAAAAACCGTATTTACCAGTTAATTCTTGTAATCAAGATTACAAAACAGGGATTTATTCACTAACACTGTATCATTCTCGATATATAAAAGCACTTTGTATTTAAAACTTTATTATAAATATATATATTGTTTTTTTTTTTAACCTACAAACTAGATATTACCTCTTGGTTGTTTTGCCACATTAAAACCATCTTCTCATAGTGTTGAGACTTTGCCAGCCCACAGTCCCTTCCCCATGTACTGGACAGGTGTGTAGAGGTGTTTGTCCCATCAGGCCCCATGGCGCCTTCTGCCTTCCTGTGGGCCCATGGGTTTCAGGTGTGAGAAAGTCTCATTTCAGTATGAAGGCTGGAAAGCCATTTTGTTCTGCCAAAAGCTCACGCACCTTCCCCTCCCACCTTGTGAGTGTAAGCAGAGCTGTCTGTGTGTCTGTCCATCCGTGTGTCTGTGTCCTCCCGGGGTGGTATTCAGGGCCGCAGATGACCGTCCTGCGGTCGTGCTGGCTCGGCACAGCACCCTCGCCCTCAGTCCTGGCTCTTGGTCAGCTGGGCATGGCGGCCAGCTGGCCCTCAGCTGGCAGCCTGGGGAGCAGTTAGGTAGCAGTGCTGGGAAGGGAGGAGTGTCTTGGATTGAAGTCCTTACGTGTATGCCAGCCACTCCCTTGCAGAAGGTTTGTCTTTGAAGCGCTGGCCGTGTTCAGAGAAGGGGTGGCCCTTGCTGTGTGGGAGACCGCACCGTGTTGCTGCATGTCCCGTGACCTCCACCTGCCCCTACCCATGGTGAGGGTCTGTACCTCTCACCTAGGTACAGCTGACAGCTCTGGATCCTTCCAGACACGTGCAGTGGCTATGGGTGATGTGGTCCAGTCCATCAGGGCCGCCTCGGTGATCTCCAGCCCAGGCCTTGTTCCGTTCTTGCTTTTAGCTGTGGTTCCCTCCATCTGAGCAGCAGGAGCCCACAGTCCCACCAGGGGGTCACTGCCGGGTAAGGTCGGTGATGAGCCTGCTTACCCATGAGCAGGCACACGCAGCCCAGCTGCCAGCCAAGGTGGAGCAGAAGCAGGTGGAGAGGGCGTGGCCGCAGCTCCAGGTGTGTGTGTGTGTCTGTTTGTCCTCCCACCCACCACGTGAGGTCTTTAATTCCATTGGAATGCGGCAACCAAGCAACAGCCCCTTCCATGCCACTAATGTGACTGAAGTTGCTTTCATGGGTCACTGACTTGGTTCAGTGAAACCAGGGTTTGTTTGGGGTTTTTCTTGGCTCCTTAGATATTTAAAGGTACAGGTTTCTTTCCTCAAGTTTCTACTGATAGTGCCCAATGGGAAGATGCTGGAACACATTTTGCAAATGTGACCTTTCTTGTTTGCTTTTAATTTTGCTTGAAGCCTGTGTCATGTCCGTTGCTGCTGCCTTCTTTCCCAATGTTTCTTCCAGAAAAATTACTTTATTTATGCAAGTCAGGTGACTCTTAGGCCACAGAACCATTTGATGATAAGCAGATTATCATTAGGTGCATATCTTATTGATATTTTGTGAAATGTTATGCCTGTGTTGCAGAAGTTGAATAGTTCTGTCTTTATATATTGCTGTCTTCAATGTACAGCATGGTTTTACTTAATTGAATGTTACTGTTTAATATTTTCTTCTTATAGAAGAGACCACGCCCTTTTGTATGACATGTTTTAATAAATGTTACCTGTCAGTTTTTGCAAACATTTTGTTTTTCACTCTTGAGTGGATGACTTCATGTCCTGTTTTCCTTCTGGCTGTAGGCCACCCGAGAAAAAAGTTCTCCTACAGCTTTTTGATAAATAAATGCTGGGTAGTCTGATCACGTGGGCAGTGAGTGGTCATGAGCTGCCCCGGGGATTGGTGATTATCGTCCCTCTTTAACCTGCCTGCACCTCGCCCCCCCCCCAACCTCATCAGATACCCAGATATGCTAGGGAGCCTGGCTTCCTCGCTGTGCCCTCACCCTGCTCTCCCTCCCCTGCCCACCCCTCAGGCTGGCCAGTATGGCCCCTCCTCCCGGCTTCTGGTCAGGCTCCACCAGGGACATGGGGATTGATGAGAGGGGCTTGGGAGTTCACCGGCCCAGGCCCTTGCACCAGATGTGGGTTGGCAGGGCCTGAGCTCCCTTGCTTCTGCTGTACTTGGAGGTTTCACTCTCCGTGTGTGTATCTGTTTCTAATCAGGACAGGTGCAGGCACTGCAGGCTGGAGGCAGGCCCTGGGCAGCCACGGGCAGTGGGTGGCAGCCACGGGCAGTGGGTGGCAGCCATGGGCAGTGGGTGGCAGCCATGGGCAGTGGGTGGCCTTTCCCCTGCTCAGGACAGCCTCTGCCCGCTGCCTGGTCTCACTCTTCCCTCTTGCCAAAACCCCAGCCCCGAAGGAGCAGCCGGCGCAGGCACCGAGGGCCCCCTAGGTTTCCTAACAACAGAGACACTGCTTGTTTTAGAGCGCTGCAAGCCACCTTCCCACGCAAACCTTCTGTTCCCACTGTTTGTTTTGAGGTTTTTCCCTTCCCCATTGCTGCTTTTGAAGCCAACTCCACATCGCCTCCGCCAGCTTTGCCATTCTCTGAGAGGGGAAGAAGGTACCCAGGCAAACTGTTTCTCACTTCTCCCTGTCCATTCTCACCAAGGTCACCCCGTGACCTTCCACTTAGATCCTTCCTCCCAGGGACCCCACTGGGCCCTGGCTGCCAGCAGTGCCCTTCCAGGAAGTAGGTGTCCCATAGAATACATGCATGGGCCTTCCTCCCTCCACGCCCCTTACCCCCACCACCAGGGCAGAGCTGAGTAGTGCCAGTCTACCTGATGGGAGAGGCTAAAGGCCCCTTTGTGTTTGCCCCAGAAGAAAGTGGGCTGCAAGCAGGGCTGGCTGTGTGTCTGTTGCAGTGACCTCCTGCTGGCTTCAGGATCGTTGCTGCCCACCACACCTCCCAAACATTCCCAAGCCACTCTTCTGCCCTGGGTGTCTGGCAGGATCAGCTCTTGGTTGGTGGAGCAGTAAGCCGGTCAGCAGGCAGACACAGGGTGAGTGTGAGCTTGTTCCAGCCAGCCTTTCCGACTTAGTGATTCAAATCCTAGCTTCCTTCCCATGCAGGTAATTTGAAGCCAGGGGCTCTGTGTCCTTCCTACTCTGCATCTGCTGCTCTTGTAAGGAAGCCCCCCACGTTTTAAATTCAATGAATGAAGATGGACACAAAGGGCCCCTCCTTCCGAGGAACCGGCTAGAGGAGAGACAGCTCCTGGTCTTTCTCTGAACCGGTTCGACTAGTTAGAAATGAAACCAATTTGATTTTTAAATCTTCCTACGACTTTGCATTTCTTCCAAACAGATAAGGCAGGGAGGGGGGCTTGGCACCTGGCTTGATGGTGCTCAGAGGAGGGGGGCGGTGTACAGCCATCCTGAGGGCATGTGTGGGTCTGTGAGCAAAGATCATTCCCAAAGCAGTAACAACAGGTTCTGAAAAGTAGTGACTTCTCACCCAGACTCTGGTAATTATAAGTTCTAGCTTTTTTTTTTTCTTCCCCAGATTCCAAAATAAGAAACCGATACTAAAGCTGTTAAGTGTGTTTATAACTTATTTAAGATATTAGTCACTGCCCTGAGAATGCTGGACCACCTAATATGACTAACCTTTCATCGAAGCAGTCCTGTGGTTCCCTACAAGCCTGCAGCCCCATGCAGTGCTCAGGATGCCCCCTCAGCCCACTGAACACCGTGCCTACTTATAACAAATGTTGAAAACCAAAGTCCATTATGAGCTTAAAAGGTGCAAAGCACCGAGCTTGAATGAATTTTTTAAAGATTTATTGATTTTTATTGGAAAGACAGATTTACAAAGAGATCTTCCACTTACTGTTTCACACCCCAAATGGCTGCAACAGCCAGAGCTGAGCCGATCCAAAACCAGGAGCCAGAGCTCTTCCTGGTCTCCCACACAGGTGTGGGGTCCCAAGGCTCTGGGTCGTCCTCGACTGCTTTCCCAGGTCACAAGCAGGGAACTGGACAGGAAGTGGAACAGCCAGAATATAAACCAGCGCCCATGTAGGATCCTGGCACTTGCCCATTGAGCCATATGCTGGGTACAAACTCATTTTTAACAGAACCATGAGGTAGTTTGTTGCAGGCCACAGCATCACATAGCAGAAAAGAATGACAGCTGACTCTTCTGATGGAGAGTCACCCTTGAGCAAAGCCCATCTCAAAGCCCTGCCCCTCCAACAGCAGCCATGGTCATGTCCTGGGAGGGTTTGCATCCTTGATGCTGGGACACAGAGCCAGGCTGGATTAGAGGGTGATTCCCGGGATGTCTTTAGAAAGATGTTTTAATCACCAAGAGCTAATCCTACCCAGCTGTGTTCAGGAAATGCCTGCAGACATTAACCCCAGGAACGGAGAGGCCAGTGGGTTTCAACTTGATAAAAATGTCTTTCCCCAAGATAGAGGAAGAAGAAAAAGAACATTGAAACCATGGTCTCATCTGCTTTCCCCTGTTCCTCAACCATTCCCACCCTAATCATTGTTCCACATACATACATCATCATGCATCGATTCTCAACTATGTAATTATCAAAAATAAAATTTTTAATTTTTAAGATAAAAGTTTACTATTTAAAAGCCAGAGTGGGAGCAAACGTTGTGATATGTTGGGTAAAGCTACCGCCTGTGATACTGGCATCCCATATAAATACTTGTTTGTGTCCCAGCTGCTCTGCTTCTGATCCAGCTCCCTGCTGGTGACTTGGGAAAAGTAGAGGAAGATGGCCCAAATATTTGGGCCCCTGACACCCACATAGGAGACCTGACTGGAGTTCCTGACCTCCACCTGACCCAGCTGCAGCCATTGTAGCCATTTGGGAAGTGAACCAGTAGATGGAAGGTCTCTTTCTGTCCCTCCCTGTCAATATGACTTAAATAAGTTAAAAATAATTTTTTTAAATGACAGAGTAGAAAGGGGAGAGAG